ACATATACACAAAATTGTTTCCACGGTGCTGATGTTAAGGCCTTGTGCTGAAGGAATTATTTACACAGTTTGGAGAGGCTGGGCGTATAAGAAGGAAAGAAGGATCAGTCAGTGGACGGGGCTCAGATCAGGAGAGCAAAGATGTAGCAAAGGGCAACTATCATATACCTCTGGGTAAAATTTTGTCTTTGTAATCTCAGGGAAGCTGGCTCTGAGAAAGCTGCAGCCAGTCTTTGCCAACAAAGCATAGAAATTAGCTTCCTTCCAGTTTATTTGACCTTCATGGCCAGCATGTCCATATACCAACGAAGCTCCAAAACTCCAGCCTCCACCCTTTCCAATACACTCAGGAAGACAATTCACTGTTGTCAGGGGTTGCAAAGAGCCAAAACATCTCAGGACCCAGGAACCACCAGCTTGAGCCTTGCGAATCTGCCTGGAGAAGGCTGAGCCTGGCCACAGCTCGTGCTGAGGTGGCCACACTCCACATCTGGGCAGTGGCTGTGTGCTGCCGCCCCACGGAGCAGCTCTGCAGGGCCTGGCACAGCTCCTCACTAACCTCCACACAGCAGCTGATATAATATACACATTTTGTCGCTCAGTAAATCAGAAGGCCAAACAGCCCAAGCTCCCACTTGGTGCTAGGGCTGGGCTGCCACACGTGGTTTTCCCATCAAGAAACGACTTGTGAAGAGGCAGAGCGGGAGGCTGGGTCCTGCAATCCTCCCACCACAGTAGGCAGATGCTTTGCCGTCAGGAAGGAAGGGGTGATGAACAAGAGACCCTTCACAGGCTGCGTTCAAACATTTGCCAAATTTTGCTGTGTCCAGATAAGTTTCATTCCAGAGGACTGCTAGCTTCAGCACACTTAGAACTAACAGCATAGAAGGGCATGCACATCTTCAGAGGTCCACCCAGGCTTGCAAAACACAGTTGGAAGGAAGTATGTGATGGATCACTGCCCTGAAAACTTCAGGCCTGCATATGAAGCATCCCAATATCTAAAGACAGAATTCCAATGGACATGGGTGGAGGGCAAAAGGGAGAGTGACAGCTTGAGATTCCTCAGCACTGAAAGCCTTGCTGTAACATAAGGAATGTAGAAGTTTCCTACTCTGGCAGCAGATCACAGCAGACAGCAATTGCAACCAACAGCAACCGTATTTCAAGCCTACCTGGTTAATAGAAACTGAAATCCCATTTTACTTAATCCAATTTACTCATATAAAGGCAGAGAATCCACCAGCTGAAACAGCAAGTTCTTGCAGCCTCTGTAGTAGCATTTCTCTTTGAGGGCAACATTTTTAAAACCACATTCAAGCAATCCTTGACTGGCAGAGCGCAACCAGGGGACCATTGCCTCTGATATTGATATCCAGAACAACTGCTTTCTCTAATCCTTTGGCAAAAGGGAAAAGAGACAGTGATCAGAACCAAAGAAATCAGGCAGGCATTCCCTACCCTAATAGCAAACATGAAACTTACTCCCAAAGGAAGCCATGACCTTTTGTTCTTCTGAAATCTGTGGGGGGCTTTTTTGTAGGGTTCTCTCTGTTTCTGAGCATCCTCCCCCAATAAAAACCCAGTTAAACTGTAAGAGACAGATATGGGGCCTCATAGAGAAACCATTGATGAAGCTGGGCCATGGATAGGCTGAAGGCCCTGGCTGATGGAGGCCACTCCATCACTTTTAGGATAGCCACCCCACTGGCTTTGAGCTGTTCTTCTTTCAAATCCTTGGAAGAACACTCGAGATACAAAGGAAAATGAAACAGCTTTGGTAGGAGAGAAGATGTATGAGGTAATGCACATAACCCTTGGCATAATTTAAATAAGGAGGACAAACCTCCCCAAGCTCCAAGGGGGATGGTGGAGAGGGCTATGCGAGGCTATTTCATAAATGTGGAGGTAGGAAAGGGCAACACTGACCCTGCCTGCTCAAAGCGCACAGTCATAGAATCACAGAACATTCAGGTTTGGAAGGGACCTCTAGAGATCATCTAGTCCAACCCCCCTGCCAGAGCAGGATCCCCTAGGGCAGCCACACAGGAACACATCCAGGGTCCCCCCTGGCCAGCACACAGCAGCCACAGCTCCATCCTGCTTGAGCAGGACGTTGAACATCGGGCACTTCCCGGTGCCTTGATCAAAAACAGAAAAAAAAACCAACTCCAAACCAAAAAAATCAACCCTGAGCCATGCAAATGATGCAAAAGCCAGTTCAGCAAGAAGCTTACAAGGGCCGACCTATTCAGTCTACCAGAAAGAAGGCAGATGGGTGTGTGATGGCACCTTATAAAACACCCTTGTGACATGGATGGTGTGAGGAGGAGAAAACTACACGCATGGGCAAAGGTGACACCAAATGCCAGCTACGCAGAGGAGGAAGAAGCTCATTTCCAAGAAGGCGCATTGGCAAGAAAAGAAGTTGTTCGGAAATTCAGTGTCATTTTCAGTTTGGCTTTTATTTTCATTGACTTCAACAACAAGGTGTTCCAAAACACACACAGGTCTTGGTGCAGGCAACACTGTCATTGCTACAAGCTTTGGCAGATTCTCAGCTCAATTAATCCATACACTTTGATGTATCAAAACAAAACAAAAAAATCACAGCTCTACAGGGGAGGGTAAAAGCTACAGCAGTTCAAACTCACTTGAAGATTCCAGTTATACAGAAGTGGGCTCCATATCGGCATACAGTAGAAAGAAGGTTTTCACAGCATATATTTTAATCATCATAGTGATGCAGCAAAAATGCTCCATCTCACTGCTGAGTTGAAAAGCAGATACTGAAGTTCTTGCACCCAGACTCCAGGCACAGCATTAATTGCATTAACTTTTATAGTCAGAAGCTTCCTAGTTCCTAAAATGACTGTATTTTTGCGTCAATATTTGTACAATACTGAAGCAGCTCAGAAGGATTACACAATGGAGATGCAAAACCTTGGAGGTGAGAAGGGCACAGCCCAATTCACCTCCAGGAATTCGCAAAGTACCTGCACTAACACTTTCCCCGCACTAACACTGCCCCGCTGGATTAATTCTTGTGTTGAGTCAAGAGCAGGATGACTTGCTTCTTGTGTACCACATAGAAAAAAAAAAGACATAATAAGTTTTCACACTGAGCATGTTAAATACTTTGAAATCTAGGACACTGCTCTTTGAAGTTTTACAAAATAAAACGATAAAACTGACTTTCGGTACCTGCCCCCTCCCACCTCAACTGCAAAGTAACACAGGAATCTCAGTATGAAAAATACAAATATATTTATCCAGTGACAAGTCATTTGTTACAATGTGTACTGTAAGCGCTTTGCATAAAAATAATAATTAAAAAAAAACAGAAAAAACAAACAACATTTAATTTCATTGTGGTTCTGTCAGACCCAGTAGCCCAAGAAGAAATAAAAATTGGCATGTTATGCTGTAGGAAACAAAAATTACACATACAAAAAAATATTTATATACACACACTTTACAGGGTAACTATCTCTGCATTACCATTTAGAGCGATCCAGGGTTTGCACAGTTACCAGAAGGCAGTCTTTGAATGCAACATAGACCTGGCACAACAGACGGATGGAGGAAGATGCTAACGATATCAGACTTAAATGAAATATGCAGCACGTAGCAGGGCCCAGAACACAGTCCCTGCATTGAAACAAGATCATTTGGTTGCAGCAAGGTAGGATGACAAGTCATTTAAGCTGCTTTTTTTCATCTTTCCCCAGACAAAAAGAAGTCAGGCTTACTGTTAAAAACAGCAAGCCAACCTGAAAGCAGCTGTGCTGAGCTCCTCAGTTTAGATTTGTTTTGTATACATTAGTTTCTCACTGCCTTGGCCAGTATAAATGTGAAAACATGTACTCTGCTCAGTTACTTGTCCACAGGATCACTGGCAGTCAGAGGAAATGCCTCAGAGCACAGCTGCTGCAGAATCAATAAAGAAAAAGCAGAGAAAAAAAAAAATCAATTTCTCATGTAAACATGACTTTTTGAAGTAACAACACTCATATTACCAGGAACTGGTCCTTGTTCTAACGCAGTTGGAAATTTCTGTGTTTTTCTACTCTTCACTTCTAGTCACTCATCACTTAGTCTATAGTCACTAGCAACAAGCCACACAGGTTCCAGCCTATTGCAGATCTATCTACAGACGGTTCTACTTTACTTGGCAGGAAACCAATCTAGCTCAGGCTAAATAAAAGATTGTCTGGGCTTAGAATAGCTGAAGCCCTACAAATCAGTGTGCAGCTCTCAGTTGGTCCTCTCTTCAACTGGAGGCTAGGCAGGCAAATCTTTATGCTAAACTAACCAGGCTGCATATGTGGTAAAGCCTAATTCTCTAGCTTACGTGTCAGTAGTAGTACAGAATGGCTAAAGGTTGGGTGGGGGGCAGAATTCAAGAGTGGCTGATGGCTGCATTCATATTTATATCCTGAAACAAGCAAACCAGGACATACACGTGAATGAAAATTCAGAATGAGAAGCGACAGCAGGTTTGGTTTTTCCCAGAGAAGGCGAGGGAAAAGGAAAAAGTGGGTTGCAGGTGGCCATAAGTGCTGGCCTGCCCAGCAAAGTGCATGTGCTGTCTCCACCGGAGAATATTACACATGAACAGAGCAGTCAGCTCCGTGGGAAGAGGCTGTTTAAGTGCAACGTTCAGCAGACCGATTCCCATTTATTTTTTGGATGAACTGCCAGCCCAGAGGTTGGTGGCTTTTGTGTTTTTGGCATTTGGCTTTGTTTGGGGATTTTTGTTTGGTTTTTTTGTGTTGTTTTTTTTTTCTTTTCCTTTTTAAAAATTTACTTTAACCTTCCTGCTCTGAAAAGGAGGAATGCTGGATAAGACACACACGTTTGCAGGTCAGGATGCCCACAAGGTGTATGAGGATCCAAAAGTCAAGAAAAGCAGCCCTCTCCCCAAAGGAAAACACAAAGCAAGAACAATGTTTTCTCAAGACAGTCAATGTTAAGGCTTTTAAGGGAATACCAAACGGCTTTTAAGGAAATACCACCTGCCTTCCCCCTGCACTCAGCTCTTCCCCTTGCAAAAGCTGGGGTGGAGGTCATGGTCCAGGAGTATGACCTAGACAGTATCAAGGGCATAACCCAGCACGAGTGAGCAAGAAGGTTCCCTGCGCCCTTTGTCCAGGGATGCAGTACCAAGCAGAAGGAAGACAAATGAAAGGCTGAGCAGTTTGTGGCCGAGGCGGGGTAGGGCGGGATCCATGGGGCTCACTCCCCTTCCTCCTTGATGCGTTGCTGTTTGTTGCGCCGGGCATCCATATCAAAGTTGAAGTCGTTCCACTCGTCACGGGGAGGGAAGGAAATGGTCTGCCGGAGCGTGAAGCGGACCGCGTCGATGACCCGCTCCCCCCGGGTCTCGCTGGAGCCCACGCTGACGGTGGACGCGCCGCTGGGGGTGCGCAGGAGGTGGGGAGGGGAGGAGAAGTCATGGAGCTGCCGGTGGTCCAGGATGCCCTTCCAGATGGCGTGGCGGAACTGCTCCGGGATCTTGAGACTCACCAGATCCTGCAAGACAAGACAAAGGGCTTAACGGGGCGATCCCTGGGCAAGCTGGGCTCAGGGAGTAGAAGGAGCCCCTGGGCCACCCTACAAATGCCTGTTAACCAACAAAGCTGCTCAAACCCAGGTGGCTGTGATGCACTGTAGAAGACAAACCACTAATCCTGAAGGTGGTGGTTCACTTCTGAACAAGCATGTGTAGCCATGAGACAGCAAGGATTAGTAACACAAGGTCTGTTTTGAAGTTACACAAAACACACACTCATGCATAAGATATCATGACCTAAAGCTAGGTATTTAACTGGACTGCAAGGCCTCCAAGACAACCTCTGCAAGATCTGCTCGTTGTCTATGGTGGGGGATGCACAAGTGTGCTGGGCAGCCTGCTCCTGCTCACTTGACGGTGGTGCAGATGTTCATTGGCTTTGAAAACTTCTGTCTTTATTCCAAAGCCGGCAAAAGGATTTTAGAATCCAAGTCTGAGCTTCAGTATTCAAAAGCTCTGGGTCTGACTCTATAAGATCTGCCTTAATTACCTTAACATAACCTTAGAAAACATAACTTTAGAAAACTTGGACTTTGAAGGCCCCATCATCTCTGGTGCAGTACCTGAGGGCAGCATTACCTAAACTCTAGGAAATGTGATATCAGCCTCTGAAAAAATGAGCAACCAGCTTTGGTTAAATTTGGTCAGCTTTTCTAATTAGAGCAGTGGCAGAAGGAAGGCAGCCCACGCTAGAAATCAAAAGCGCCACAGCCTTGCAAAGTCTCAAGGGGAAGGAAAAAAAAAAAAAAGGGACAGCCAGCTCTGAGGAGAGCAATGGCACAGGATAGGAAGCAGCAACCCTGCAGCAAAAGCCATGCAAAAGAAATAGAAAACTAGCTGGGCTTCGACACCAGTCGCAAGGGAAGATTGTTAAGGTAAGGCAAGAAAACAGAGGCAGGGAGGGGAAAAATGCAGACCACTTCTGGACAGCCTAGTTGTCTGCAGGCAAGTGAAGTGTTTCAGAGCCGTGTAAACTGAAACCAAGCCTTGCAGAATTGACAGGCCTGTGGGCTGGGGCCACTCTGAGGGCTAAAATGCACAGTAGTGGGGAGAGAGACACGGTCTTTCTCTGTGCCAGGCAAGGCAGTTACAATGCTGAGTCCAGCCTCTCTTCACCTCACAATAAAAGTCATCTCTGTGTGCAACAGCCTTAATCAAGCAAATCATATAAAAATAAAAATATTGAGTCTGGATTCCTGACCTGTTCCTATAGCATGGCCAAGAGTGCAAACAAAGGAAATGGTGAGGAGTTACTTACATCCATGGAGTAATGCTCAATCTGATAGATGGTGGTCAGCCCCTGGGTCGTGAAATAATCCACACAGGATGAGCAGCCCAACCTCGCTAAGAAGCTGCAGAGGAGGAAGGAAGGAAGGAGAGAGAAAAAAGGATCACCCTGGCTGCAACAGCCCAAACCACAGAAAAACCAAACACTCAGCCAACCTGCAGCAACAGGAAACAAAGCTTTCACCCTTGGCTTGACCTTCTCCAAGACATCTCAGGCCAGCAAGCCACATTGCTGCCACATCAAACAAATGAGGGAGTCCTTCAGCTCAGCACCTAGCAGACAACCCTCACGGCAGTACCTCGCCTTGGTCAAGAGCCAGTGCTGCAGAGCCTGGATCTTGGGGCAGGAAGACTCACATGGACCCTTGTGCCAGGTCACTTCACCCAGAAGGTGGCTGAGCCCGTGGCAGCCTGCTGAATGGATAGAGGGCTTCAGCAAGTCTACAGCTATGAGACTCAGATACCTCATGCACAAAAAGTTCTTCGAATCAGCACGTTACTCCCTAAGTGTAAAGGATTCCTCCTTTATGGGCAGCATCTTTCAACCTGTTCAACCTTATGGAGGGCAGAGGAGCTTCTCATCCCAGTCAGGGCTTGTAAGTGGCCAAAGGGGCAAACAAAAAAAAAAATAAAAAAAAAATGTCTGCAAGACTTCCTAGCACCCTCAGCTCCATCAGTCCAACAGATGCTGCATCCCTCAGCTTTCTTTCAGTCCTAACATCCTTGTTTCTTTCAGGTGCTCAGAGGTGGGTGTTTGAGGCTTGGTGCCCAGAAGGTGCCAGCCCTAGGACTGGCAAGACCCACTGGGATCCAGTCCTCCAAGAGAATGGAACAAGTTACTCAGCAGGAGCCTTCAGGCTCCCGACACGAAGCCTCCACCCCCCATGGGTGGGAAACGTGCGCCGGGCAGCCTGCTCCTGCTCACCTGACGATGCTGCAGTCTGTGGGGTACGGAGGAGGGGGGGGGCAGTGGGATGTCGAAGGCATGGAGAGGGGAGGTGGCAGCGCCTGCGTGGGGCTGAGGCCATTCATGTCGCTGGTCATGGCCATGTGGGTGCCCATCATGGGAACTGGCGGAGAGAAGAAGGAGCACATTGTTACCCAGGCATCTCTGGACCCCCACTTCATCCCCAGCATGGCACCACAGGGCAGCACCCACAGCCAAAGCAGCCTTAAACCTCTGCAAAGACCTCCACGAAATGAGCTCACAGGGAGCTTCAGACAGGGTCACAATGACTGCACAAGGACCAGATGACAGACAGTCCTTCAGGAGCTCTCCCTTTGAGAAACTGTCAGCAGCGTTGCCGCCGCGTCACCTTCCCTTACAAACAGGGCTGGTAGAAACCTAAGCAAAGCTCGTCTCAGCTTTCTCTGCCGCAGGAGAGGAGTGAGACAGAACCAGAGTAACCCAATACAGGAGCCAAACAGCTTTGTTTTCAGAGACATCGAGAGCACCCGAAAGGGCTCAGCAACAGGTGTGGGCAAGAGTCCAGTGCTTTTGAAATTAAAAAAAAAATAAAAAAATCAAAAAACCAATCACAGAAAGAAAACCTCAACCCCCAGAACCATGTCTGTCATCCCAGATTTACAGGGCTGCTGGGCACTCTTCAGCAGCCAGAAGGAAGCAGGCTACAGAGCTGCGAGATGCAGGCATTTCCTTTGAAAGCAAGAAGTGTCTTAATTGAACAGAAGGAAAAGAGTTTGCCAACATTTGCATCTCCTTTGCTGGGAAAGGAAGAAGAAAGAAGTCTTGAAAGACAGACGACAGAGCAGCCAGCCAGATCTGCAGCAAGAAGGAGCTCTCTTCGCCCCTGTGAGGCTCAGAGCAGGATGCTGAAGCCTTGCCCCATGGCACAGCAGCGAGCAATATTTGGCTCTGCAGGTTCTCAGCTAATGACTCCAGGCTCCTCAGCCTCACACTAGCCACTCAGAGATGCCAAGTCTCCTTGCCCAGACTAGTGGGGAGCACGCAAGGACCAGAAGAAGAAGGAGCAAGGGTTTCTTACTGTTGGTTCCCATGCCGTCGGGGATGGTGGTTGGGGTCAGAGCATTGCGCTGCTGGGGATTAATTAGCTGGCTGACCGAGGGCAGCTTGTTCATGCTGTTCATTTTGCTGAGTGGTGGAGAGTTGGAGCCGTAGGATGACTGCGACTGCATGGAGGTCCTGCAAACCAAGGAGACATTAGGACAGGAATCATAGCAGTTGGTTAAGAATGCATATCCAACGTTTTGTTTGTGGCAGTGATGAGATAGTGCTAGCGAAATCACTGACACCATCACAAATAAAGATCATTGGAGAGTTCCAGTGACTGGAGATCACTGAAAACAGGAGGTTTCCCAGATATTTTGGCATTTAAAAAACAAATGGTAAAATGCCAAAGGGAACCTTCACTTTCAGCTCAAATTTTTTATTTAAGGAAAGGTTTCTACATAAGTTTTTCAGTTCAAAAGAACATACACAATGTCAGTGAATAGCTGGCAAAATTTGAAAAGAGTATTTTTAAGTTAAACCCTGCTTGCGGACAAAGACTTTTTTGGTAAGAACAAGAACTGAGGAAGCTGTGTCAAACCACCCTAACTATCCCTTCAAACCTGACTGCAGAAACAAGTTTCACATCAGCTCACGCTTAATCACCTCGATTTCTCCAAAATTCCTGTGAAATCACATAATCCAATTGTTATCAGGTATATACAGAGCATCCAGATGCTCTTTGCTCAAAACAGACTTCATACACTTTAGGGACCGCAACTCAGATGGTTAGAGCTGCCTGGGACGCCGGCGTGCAGCTTTTGCCAGTATTAAGGACAACCTGGTATCCAAACCCCATAGGCTGCTTGAGAAGAGTATCGGATTCCCATCACCACTTGACAACAGCACTAACCTTCCTCAAGTCCAGACAACTCCAAACTCCATACCCCCTATCTACAAACTGGACCGGAGGCACTTGCTGGCGAGCTCCCCTGTGCCCAGCCCTGAGGGTCCCAGCTGCAATCCTGCCTTGTAAGCGATCCTGAGCACCAAGACCCGACCGCTTCTGAAGAGCAGCCCAGAGCCCAGATCCAGTTACAGCTGCAGCATCCCATCTGGAGCGGGGTCTTATTTGGGGTATGCAGAAAATGATCATTAAAGCAGGTCCAGCAGCACAACTGACAGAGCACTGCCATGCCATGAGAGAGCATTTGGGTTTTTTTCCCCTCTCTCTGACACAAGAGCTGTTTGCAAGACCAGGCAAAGGCTCTGGGGAAGCGGGCACGCTTCCCCAACACAATGTACCCTCGCAAGCCGTGCTCATCGCCCAGCTCGCCGCAGAGCCCAGCGCTCGCTTGGCCATATCACAGTGACCCCGCGGTGAATGTGCAAGGGCACATTCCCATCTTATTTGCCATTGGGAAAACTTGTTTGTCTGGGTATAACTGGTTACATCAATCCCTGGGAACTGGCTTTCCTTCTATGCAAAGAGAATAGTTAATACTTGAAATAAGCAAAGCATAAAGGAAAGAAAAGTCTTATGCCTAGATAATTTATTACAACCTTCAGGACTCAAGGTCAAGTTTCATACAATTACATCGTCTCCAGCTTCCTGCACTTTTAAGACTTGCAGTGTTAAGTGGAGAAAACAGCTATGCTAACAGGTTGGGGTATCTAAGGGCCTGAAGAAATGTTACCTAATTACACAATTACAGGAGGCACAGAAGGGTGTGAACTGTCCTTTGGCAGTCAAGATGCAGGACAAGATCCAGCAGACTTCACAGACTCAAGGAAGTGGAAAGCACAAGAAGCCTCACAAATTTAATGTTAACGATGGCTGTATCTCCCAAGGGGAAGTGAAACTGAACCATGAAGTTCAGACCCAGCTTTTCAGGGTGAAGGGAATGATTCAGAAATGAGGTTTCAGTTCACCAATTATAAAAGTTGAGGCCAGCCATGAAATTTAAGTCAGGTTCACACCACCCTTATCCTAAGAGGCTTCTGGATTTAGGATCAAAATGAATACTTCTACTTTACAGGATCAGGCACCTATCCTAACTGAATTTCAGCTGAAATTAATACACACCTGAGTAGTCTCTTAGTCCAAAATCTGCGTGATACACAAGTGAGGAGGTCACCACATATACAGTAAAATTGCAAATCAAATCAACAAAGGCTTCCCCAAAAAGATTTAGTTGCATTGTTTAAGCTCAGGCCAGATTTTGTTCAGAGACTTCATGACTAGAAATTTTAGAAACTTGGGTTTGATTTTTTTTTTTGAAGGATGTCTGTTGCTATGAAACAAGATCTTCCAAGGAGGTTGGTAGTGGGCCTAACTCTGCCCTCTCCACCACCAATAGTGATCTCAGCAAAGCTAGTTAGAAGACTATAAAATACTTTAGGGATTACCAAAAAAAAAAAAAAAAAAAAAAATGCAGCAGCAAGCAAACACAAGCTAACCCTAAAGCACTACAGAAATCAAATCCATTCTTTAACATATAGCTTGAGGACTCCATTCTTATCTCATTCACACTCATAAGAATCAAGATTATGCCAATCAATTTCGAGTATATAAAATGGGAAACAAAAGTATTTTTCTTCATACTCATTTCAGCTAACTATTCCACCACATGAGGAGACATGTGAAAATTCTAGAGAAAGTCATCTAGACAAAGAAAAGTTCCAAGATAAACCAAGATGCAAAATTTTATTGAAAATTAATGTCACACAACAATATAGCAACAGCCTCAGAAACACAAGAAAATATTTTTGGTATTAAACACACAGACTACATGGTGTTTGAGGATTCATTTAAAATATATTACTTTTTCTCATTTTTTTTAAACAGGTATTATAAGAATGTCATGCACAGTGATTTTCATTAAAATTATACTTACTATGTCTCAAGAAAGATTAGAAGTAGGAGCATTAACATTTCTTTGATATCAATGCCAATGAAATGCATTTTAATATCAAGGTATAAGGACTTCGGTTAAGAAACTATTATACTTCTTGGAACAGTCTGATATGAAAGGCACTGAGTCACATTCTGCAACTGATTTTCTCTCTTCAAGAGCCTATGTAATTATTTAGCCAATAACATTTGTAGTTATGCAAGCTCATACGAGGGCAATTGCTTCTCATGCTTCAAGGCATGTACTGATCATCTCAAGAGGTCAGGAAGGAACTTCCTTCTCCCACATGAGACACAGTTCAGTTCACAGATTACCTTGTATGATTCTATGCTTTCCCAGCTCACGGGATATCAGCCCTTCACCAGAGGTAGGAAACTGATTGGATAGACCAATTACCTGATTCAGTAGACAAGTCCCAGAGTCCTCATTCACATTAGATGAGCACACCGTCCTACAAGCAGCCTTAATGCAAATGACATCAAAGGTTCAGTAAGTGCAAGAACAGGGCAGCTCAGGCCCAGAGTATTTAAGATTTCACCTGAGCTCTCTCTGAAGACCTAGAGCTAGTCACAACACAGAGAGACCCAAGTGGAATCAAAGTTGTCCGTTTCTGGACCTGTAAAAGCAATTGCAGCACGGATTATATCCCAAGTGTGCACATGGTCAACGTGCCATTTGAAAACACTTTTTCAAGTGAGGTTGCCCACTGGGCTGCATAACACTGTGATGTCATTGATATAGCTTAGCAATGGCACACAAGTGGCACGGATGGTGTTCAGTTGCACTAATCCACTTTGAGGGCCTGTGAAGTGGAACACTAAAAAGCAGAGAGATTCCCTTGTTCTCCACGTCTCAAATAGCTGCTATTCTAGAGCAGACAATAGTGCATCTTTTCAATCACACAAGTGGTTTGTAGGCTTGGTGTGTGGAACTGCACCAGTACATAAAGGATAGCTACCAAGAAGATGGAGACTCCCTTTTTAGGATGAGTCACATGGGTAAGACAAGGGATAATGGGCACAAGTTGCTCCTGGGGAAATTTTTGTTGAACTCCAGAGGAAAATTTTTTTATCATGAGAGAAATCAGACATTGGAATAGTCTTCCAAGAAAAGTGGTGTATTCCCCAACCTCAGAGAGTTTTAAGGCTCAGCTTGACAGGGTGCTGGGTCTTCTCATTTTAGCTGTATTTCTTTACCTGAAAGGGTTGGACTAGACAATCCTTGAGGTCCCTTCCAGCCCAGTAATCTATGATTCTGTGAACTGGGAGAGTGGAAAGGAGAAGCCCCGGTGGTCACTAGGTAGACAGCAACTACAGCACAGGGACAAGGGTGGTGATAATGACTCCCTTAGATTTCAGGTATGGGAATTTCCCAAGGCAGGCAGTGGATGCAATTTGCTTTCCAAGGAATGGAGCTATAATGCAGGGAGTCGATAAACATCAACTAGTTGACATAGATTCGTATGACCTGACTAACTGATATGGCCCAATTAGCTCATTGAGTTATTCCTTGAAAGGAAAAGGCTTACTTTCCTGAAGCTCCAGAGATGACAGAGAAGCAATCAAAAGACAATTGGGAAACACTTTTCTTCTTTTATCTGCAGAAGACAGACTACAAAGCAACTCCAATTACTTCCAGCTCCCAGTAATTTGATTTAAAAAGAATAAAAATGCACTTCTAAGACAATCATCTTGCAGCTGGAAAGCAAATCCATCATTAAGACCAGTTTCACAATTACCATCTTCTCTTAAGTAAGGAAGACAAATTGGAAAGCCTTTCAAGATGATAGTGGGATCCAAATAATTGACATTCTTGTGTGGTGGAAGTCCCAGATGCTGTACTGCTCATCACTGTAACAGGAGAATTCCTAGAGGTTGGACCAGGTGAACTGGAGCATAAGCTGGTATCTCCCAGTGTGGGCTGTGAGTGTCTTGTATCTTCTGGTGGGCAGCCTCCTCAAACTTACTGGTGGTCAGAGCAGAGCTCTAGATACAGATTAGTGTGTCCCTGTCACAGTATTTCTGTATTGCCACCCGCAAGCACACAAGACCAAGATTCAGGAACAAGCCTTCATTGGAAGGCCAGACTGACAATGCCAAGCAGAATCCTACATCTAGGCTGCATTTGCAGTTCAGATTCCCACCTCTCACAAGGAAAGGAACAGCATTGCCTTTCTTCTCCCAAATAAAAAGGCACAGGACAATAGTTATCTGCTTTGTGATCTCAGAGTACTTCCTAGAGTTTCCAGGCAAAGAAAAGAAGCACTTGATTTGGTTAGCT